AAAAAAAAAAAAAAAAAAAAAAAAAAAAAAAAAAAAAAAAAAAAAAAAAAAAATGAAGATGCGTGTGGAGAAAATACTGACTGCAAACGGAGCAGTTGGCCTCGTCGGAGTTGTCGCCGCATCCGTCCCTGCCGCTGCAGACTATCGCGTCGGAGCGACACCGGCCGTTGGCGCACTTGAACGGACAGTCACGGGGCTGCAAGTAGCCGCGGTTTCTCGTGCGACAGAGGGCCTTGGGCTCATCGCTGCCATCCCTGCACGACACTATTGCGTTGCAAAATTCGTACGCCGGCAGGCAGTGGCCGTTGTTGCACCGGAAGGCACCGTCCGGACACTCTGCGCGTTTATCAACAGAATTGTATTACCTTTTTTTTTTCCCCCCCCCTTAGATTAAAATGGTATCGCTCGAGCGCATATAAGTACACATCGTTATCAAACCACGCGAGCCATCTCCGTACGAAAGAGAGTACAACTTTTCCAATGAACGCCACCGGGGAAGAGCACGAATCTCTTTGGCGTCTTGATACGAGAATATATTATATATTCCATAATATATGCGACGATTAGGTCGCGATTTATCGGGAAAAAAAAGCTATATATGTTGAACCGAAATACCCAACTTTGAAATTTTTTTTCTTTCGGAGGTTGGAGGAGAGAAAAAAAAAAAAATCCCAAATATGGTACCTCTCTTTGGAGGGTGAGCTATCGGCAGTGTGTACTCACTTCTCCGGTCGCTGCAGCCAACCTCGTCCTCCCCCTTGGGGCAGTCCTTGCGGCCGTCGCACAGAGAGGCCCGGGATACGCATACCGAGCTGCTCTTGCACCTGAACGCCTGTGCCGGACAGCGGGAGGACGACCTCGAGTGGCCCCGGGCGAGGTTGCACTCCTCGTCGGAGCCGTCGCTGCAGTCTAGCTCGCCGTTGCAGACAAAGTACCAGCTGATGCACGCCCCGGAGCCGCGGCACTGGAAGGTGTTGGGGGCGCAGCCCCGCTGACGAGCGCTGCACCAGGTCCCGTTGCCACCCCGACGCGCGCACTCGCATATACCGTCCAGGCAGCGGCTGTTGCGGTCGGCCATTTGGCACTCGACGTCCCACGAGCACGGCAGCCCCAGTGACACGGCCGAGTACGCGCTACTCTCGTGCCGATCGGTCTTCAGCGGCGTCGAGGCTGTACGCGCAATATTTTGTTTTTTTTATGGGAGAGACAAAAATAATACAAAAGAGGGTATAGTCACACGCACCGGTGCTCGAGGTGCTCGTGGTCGTTTGCACGAGTTCGGGAATCTCCGCGTCGACAATGATCGCGTCGTCCTCTGGGAGCTCGTTGGGGTGGAACTCGGCGCGCACTGACGGCCTCGTCACGATGTTCACGGGCATCAGTTGCGTCGGGGCCACGGTCGACAGCAGCAACGTCGCGTTGCGCAGCCAAGAGAGTTGCGCGCCTGTATTACAAAGTAAAAATAAATGTTGGCGCTTTTTAAGCGGCAGTATACATATACATATATAGGTGAAGGGTTTTTTTTTTTTTTTCTTCTTTTAATTTTCGAAGCATTGAATTACGTTTAAGAAATAAAAGCGGGTACACGGTCTGTTCAACCTTTACTTGAGAACTAATGACTTTTATTGAAAGAAACGAGCCAAGATGGTCGAACTTAGTATGTATAGTTACCGGTGTCCTCGTCGTCCAAGCTCGAGCTGGTGGTAGTCTTGGTGCGCGAGCGAGTAGAGGCCGCGGCCAGGGGTTTGGGTTCGCTACCGGTGCTGCTCGACAGCCCGAGCGGTTGCGGGCTCGTAGGCGCCGGTGGCCTCACTAGTCGGTCGGGCCGGCAAACCTCGCCGTCCTGCCTCATGGGCGAGGTGCACTGGCAGTGACCAAACAGATCCGGTATGACGAACGCGCAGTGGGTGTCGCTGTCCCACAGCTGGCAGTGTGCGTTGCTGAAGCACACCTGGCCGAGCCTCGCCGCTGACGGACACACGCGGGATCAATCGTTGACAATTTATTGTTTTTCGGGAAATTTTTTTTTTTTTTTTTCATCCCAATGTACTCTTTTTTGCTAAATACATTTGCCCCCCCCCCCCGGCATACTCTCGAAATAAATACAAATGTACTTATCTGCCGTTGAATTTCTCATTTTAGGCTCGAGAATCACGAATGGGTTCAAGAAAAAAATAATAATAATGCATGGATTTTTATAGAAACGACAATGATGGAGTATATACAATCCAAGAAATTGCAAGCTTGTTTTTTTCGTTACCCCCACGCAATTTATGATAATTTCTCTCGACTCGACAAATCTCATTCCATACGCTCAAAAGCGTGAAACACGTGTCGTATAGGATAAAGAGATTAGCTCCAGGGATGAAGCATATATCGAGTAATGAAACGAGGCTGGAAATTAATGGTGAAAACATGAACGTGGTTCGCGAGCTTGTAACCGCAAAATATCTCGATGGAGCTCGCGCGGAAGGATTACCCATAGGAGCGAGGTTTGACTGAAACAGCAGCCCAAGCTGAGGATAATCCCGCGTTAACATAATGACGGGAATAACCGATACACCTATAATATACCTGTTGATGAAAAAAAAGCCTGGCGAATTTGAAATTCCAACACGTACACCTATACACCAGCCGTTGTTGTACGGGCAAAAGAAAACAAGCCTCCCGAGGAATGCAAAATAACTCGCCGTTCCCCCGTACACATACTCGCCGGCATTTCAGAAAATAATTGACTAGTGTATCTGATTAAACTCCGCGTGTACCCGTAAGCAGCACGTGTGTGTGCTCTCTCTAAGCTCCCGATCCCCCCCCCCCCCGGCACAGCTTCGAGGATAAAAGAATCCTGTCTCCCGACGCGGACATTTCCGCGTGTGTCCACACATACGCGCACGGACGTGTGGATGTACGGATACACCACTGTACAATGTACATGTATATAATATGCGCGGACCATAAGATAGAGATACGGATCGCGAGGAGGCGTATGTATATATATATGTAAAATCGAGCGTGCAGGGGACATATTTGCAGGGCAAACATTTTACACTCGACGACGGGCGTTAAAAATCCCTCCCCCTTGGAGTCTGTATATATGGTTTTCAAGTTTTTTTCGTTCAAATTGACTCCGGGGGAGGGCAAAAAGTGTGCAAGATATTGTAATATATAACGAGACAGAGTATACATACGAAGCTGTAATGTATGTGATGTAACGAGCGTCGAGCGCGTGTCTGTATAAGGTGTGTAGCCTTGATTTTAATGGTGTATATATATATTATATGTGTGTACTTACGGCCCAAGCAGGAGTGCGCGCGATAGGAGAGGTAGCCGTCCTGACACTTGCAGAGGCCCTCGTGGCAGGTGCTGTTGGCCACTTTGAGGGAGCATTGCTCGTCAACCAGGCACTCGTTGCCCAGTAGGGTGGCTGAAATCAACCACGATATTATGTACGTGCTATTATACTTATGATTTTCTAGGAAGTTTACTGCATATCCCTTACCCCCCAGCCCTCGGTCGTCGCCGGGTGCGAACGGAAGGCCAAGTTAATTAGTTTTGCGGAAAATTGCGGAGGAAAAAAATTAATTGCGCCTAATTGAAAGGACGCGCGCTACGTGGAAAAAAAGCAGCTATTTTTTTTTTTCACGCACGCGAAGGGATTCTCCTGAGGTTTTTTTAGTGCAAAAAAAAAAAAAAAACACCCCCAAGCGCGACGCTTTTCGAAAAGTTGTTAACGTACGATGATGGAAAAATTTGCCAATGTGGATTGTACCGCGGTGATCCCACCCATAGGTAAAAGGAAGAAAAAAAAAGAATGATCAAACAAGAGTTTTTGCACGCGGCTCCTGATATGATATTGTTTACCGTTAAAAAGTAGCGCGCGCGCACGAGATAAAATCATGTACATACGCACAGAGATCTACATAATGTTACATTATTTAGCGTTTAAAAAACATTTTTATTCATCTCGTTCTTTCTCTCGACTCGTACATAATTATACACACGCAATTACGTATAGGTAAAACGCGCGCGCGCAGGGAAAAATCCGCAAAGTACACATGTCGGTACAAATTACATATACGTATAGAGGGGGAGGGAGGGAGGGAGCAAACGTTAATTTGAGTTACGTAACAACTCACACTCGACGCAGAAGGTCTCGTTGTACTGGGCGTAGTAGGGCAGACAGGAGCAATAGCCGAGGTGGCACTGGCTCCTGCTGATCGTCGCCTCGCATTCCTTGTTCCTGTTGCACTCGGATCCGAGCCTCAAACCCGGCACGTCCGTCTCTTGGGCTATCGACAGCACTGTTACCTGCAACACCACACATTCATACATATATGTATATATGTATATATTTATACCTCAAGAGGTACATAATATGAATAATATAACCATACGTGTTGTACGCTCTAATACGCCATTCGTCCCGACCCTATTTATAACTGTAAAGAAAAAGAAATCCGTACTACTTATTTGCACTGTACGCGCGGGCGAGGGATAGTATATACGCGAGGGGCTCTCGTTAAATAACTGCTCTTCGAAGTGGGCCCCGGGAAAAAAAAAAAATCTGGCCGTGCTCTCGTTTCGTGTGACTGGCAATTTCAATGGTTGTGCACCTCTATATTCGCGTGAGAGAGGAGGAAACGAGCGATGATGACTGCAGGCAAGCTATACATATGTATATACACGCATATGCATACAGAAGCAGCGGCCTTAAATTGTTATTGGCGGCCTAGTCGTCGATTCATTGCCATTTATTGAGCGGCAGCTCTCGGTAGCCGGCTGTTGCTCCCCGTACGCCGGTTCATGCGCATAAAAAGCTTTTGTGTGTTTTATGCACCGTCGGACGCGCGTATGAAAAATCGATGAGACCGTTTTTTCCTTTTCTTTTATCCATTCCCTCGAGCGATGGGAAAATCGGTGGGTTAACGATCCGTCAGTGGCCGTCTGTCCATTCCACTCATATATACAACGTTTGGATGGAACACAGGCATACCCCACCGAGCTTTGCGAGGAAAAACGTAAAAATATTCAACTGCACCCGATACGCATTTTATAATATTGTTACGGGAAAAAATGAATTTCCCGACCGATTTTCAAACCGCAGTTTCGTTAAACCCAACACCCCGGATTTCCTTCGTACCTTGCACATGTATAATGGTTGAGCCGATCTAACGTATAAACATATATGTATACTATAGCCGACTAATCGCTTTCCCGCTTCCCACGATCTGCAAACAATACGTCTTTCTTTGCTCTCCCTCGGCGCGCTCCTCTTCTTTTTCGTCTTCTCATTCCTCCGGAGAAGCTACACGAGGCGCGAGGACAAGTATATACTTACGGGTTGTGTGCACGTGTACGGATGGCCGTCGCGCGGTGTCGAGGTGCAAAAATCGCGCGAACAAACGAGAAAAGCCAGAATACACTTGGGTACAGGTATGCGCACGAGAAAAGCAGCTGCTGCAAGCACGCGTATGTATACCTTCACGCGGATAAAAGAGGGAGGGAGGAAAAAAAAAAAAAAAAAAAAAAAAATAAGATAAATCCAGCGTGACATTGGATTTCACGATAATTCGGAAAATCCACCACCCGCGCAACCTCGGGTCAAACGGGGAATAGCCGGTCTCGTGCTTTCTGCTTCCAGCGTTTGCCACTGCGGCAGGGGATCCGAGAGCCTTTATGCAACTGTGCCAATCGTATGGAAAATTTTGCACGCGCTCTATCCCATTGCTGCCGGCTCTTTGAATTTGCTTCCACGCGCGGGAGTACACGCGTCACGTAAAATGACTTGGGTTATTGTTTCCATTGTTTTTTTTTTTTTTTTTTTTTTTTTTTTTTTTTTTTTTTTTTTTTTTTTTTTTTTTTTTTTTTTTTTT